GTGAGTTCACATTTCCAACTTCTATGGGAAAATGGTGGATGCTTCCTCGCCAACAGGAGATTCTCATGAGGGCACCTTAGGGCTGTGTAGACAGGTGCAGGGTCCTGCAGGGAGGGTGGGCCAAGCCCCCTGGGCCCCTGGGTTGGGTTTAGTCAGGTGCATGGTTTCCACGTCTTCGTCTGAGACCTTCCATGGTGCTGTGGATGGATGCACCCCGCACGACCACCCACGTGACCTTGGGCACGTCCCCTCCCATCTGTGGGCCTTAGCTGTCTCACCTGTAAAACAAGTGGTGGTGGGGGGTGATGGTCAGTGGTAGTAGCCCCCATCTTCCACTGAGTGGCTGCTCATGAGGTCAGCTCTGTGAGAGGGGCCCAATGTGCCCATATCTTCACAACACGCCCTGCCCAGTGACATCGCTGTTGTTCAGCTGCACAAGCTGAGGCTCAGAGTGGTGAAGTCACGTGCCCCAGTTGCATATTCAGTAAATGAGAGGCCTCTGATGCAAGCCAGGTCTGTCGTCCTGTAGTCTGGGGTCTCAAACCCTACATGGTACTGCTTTCTTAAAGGGGACTATAGTTTTCCAGGGTGTGGGACAAACTCATGTCAGCAGAGAGGGTGGCCTCTGCAGATGCACGTGCTCGTTATCTATCTTAAAGTTATCTTACACAGTGCTCTGCCCCTTGAGTCTGTAATCAGCATGATTTGTCTGGGATTGCTGTGGAGAAATGCTATTAAATAAACATCAATTTACGGCGTGTTTGCATTTTGATTTCTAATCCTAGCCAAATCCAAAAGCTGTAATATTTGAGAAATGATTTTAACAATGGACAGCACCTGCCGAAACCCAGTGAAGGGCAGGAGCAAGTGCTGTTGAGTGTTGGTGGCCTCGATGCGCTTGTGCAATGAGTGAGCAACACGACCGGTGTCCTGGGGCAGCTGCGAGGTCCCCAGAAGGAGCCCAAGTTGGGGACATTGGGCTGCGACTCCTGCTGTGTCGCCACCTGAGGATGTGCTGGAGCTGGTCTGTGCTCCCACTGGGGCGTGGTCCTCTCGCCTGTCCAGCAAGCAGGTGACGTGAGGATGCTGAGGTCCCTTCCACTTTGAGGTTAGAAGAGGGAGCAGAAATTCCTCAACCTCTTTCTTTCCAGCAAGGACTGAATGAGCCCGAGAGGCAAAATTTGGATTCCACCTCTGCCTACTTTCCAGTAGGCCCCGTTACCCCAAGAGTTGCCTGGATCGGGTCCTCCCAGACAGCCAGGGCTGCTGTCCCCAGCGGCATTCGGCTCCATGACAGCCCAACAACCCTCGATATGGTCAAGGTGGGAAAGGCTGTACCTGCCCCACACTAGGGGCCACTTTCTCCCATGGGACCAGCTCAGGAGGGACCAGGAGCCCAGAACTGCTAAAGGACCACAGTGGACATGGGCATGGTAAAAGTTGATGGGGCTTCACGTCCCCCAGCCACTTCTGGGGCCTGGATGCCCCCAGTCTTTATTTTTTAATACACCAGAGGTCCCCACTGTATTAAAAAATAGACATGTCAAAATGGGGTTATAAAAATCAGGGTATCTTTTAAACACTTATATATACTTCAACAAATAAGTTCTTTTGCTGTGCAGAAAAGTACAGCTGCTGTGGGTAGCAGTCCCTGGGAGGGAAGTCAGGATCCCGCTTCGGGCTGTGCGGGCAGTGGGCCCCTGCAGACCCAGGGTTTGCAGCCAGACCCACACTGCCCCGCCGGGTGCGGCCATAGGACCTGGGCATGTGCTTCCTGACTCCTCTGAGCCCTAATTTCTCCTCCACCCTACCCAGTAGGGTCTTGGTGAGGATCCAGGGATAACTTACCTCCAGAATCTGACTTGTGGCAGGCACTCAGTAAATGGTACGTCCTGCAGAAAGTCACTGGGGTCCTTGGGAATCCTGTGCAAGTCTGAGATCCTTAGAGGTGAGACTTTTATTCTCCACTCGTGGGCCACATACTGCAAATCACAGTTGGGCGTCCTGTGCAGAGGGGCATGTGTCTGCCACTTGGGCCTGTTTTGGTTCTGGCACTAAGTGAGCATGTGTCTATGTGTGGCAAGACTGACTGGTTCTGCACAAAAATGGATGCATACATCACTTGTTTGCACATGAGACTCCCTGACCATTGGGCTTGAATTCTTTAGTGGATGCCTGCGGTGGATCCTTTCGCAAGTCCAGAATCTTAGCATACATGAGATTTTTGGTGGGGAAATCTGCACAGCTCTCACTAGGAGTGGGGACTTTTTTTTTTTTTTTTTTGAGAAGAAATTTGATAGCAGAAAGGTCCAGTTTCTTTCCTTCCCTACTTTGCCTGTTGTCTGCTGAGGATTCTGTCCCAATGCTGCAGAGAAAGGCCCTGGGCCAAGCAGTTGTAAACAAATGTGTAGGAAAACCAAGCTGGGGTGGGAGGAGCCACATGTCACTGGCTGGCAGGTGTCATGTGGCAGAGGTCTATAGGGCTGGTGACCCAATTCCCAGCTGCCTTGCTCTCCAGAGTCAGTGGGAGGGGGGACTCTCTGGAGCCCATTGCCCTCCGGCCAGGTACGATGCCCTCCTTGGCCAGAGGTGTCCTCTCCAGGTGTCTGGGGTGTCCCATCTCTTCTCCCTGAGGGAAGCAGCGTATTCCAACTTAGTTCCAGCGACCACCTGGCCTGTCCAAATGCCAATCTTCCATTCCCACAGTGTACGTAATGCCTGCTCTGGGGCTGACAGGGCTTCTCAGGCCACATGTTCAAGGTCTTGGCTGCCATGGAGAAGTTCTACCCCAAAAGGGCATTTTCAATGAGGCTATTCAGCAATCTCAGCCCTTCCTTGCTGGAGGTTAATGTATCGCCTCCCCCACACCCGTCATTAGCAGGAATATACATTTCAAACGTCGTGTAAGGGATAGGGGCTCCTTACTCTCAGGGAGCAGAGGAGAGGTGAGGTCGCAACCTGTCTGACCTGGAAGCTTCTGTCTGATTTGCATTGCCCTGAAATTGATGGAGACAATGAGGTAATCACCGGGAATTGCACTCCCCCGCTGAAAACCGAGCCAACCCCCCTGCACATCCCGGTAGGCACCGTCCCCAGGCGTCTGGTTCCCATCAGTGTCCCCCAGCCCCGGAGGCTGCTGGGACACCCTCACATTTAACCTTCCCTGCGTGAGGCCAGCCGTGGGGCAGCCCGGCCTCAGGATAATGAACCTGGGCTCAGAGGAGGGGACTGCCTGCCAGAGGCTGGGAGCGACTTTGCCAAGGGCCTAAGTGATCTGTTTACAGTGATCTGAGAAACACCAGAGTTTTCAGAACCAGACCTTATTAGTCAAGCCAGAGTGGACGCTCTCTGCTGCTCCCTGCCCGGGAAGGGGACGCAGGCCAGGCCCCGTCCAGCCAGCCCTGTGCCTGCTGCTTTCAACTACTGTAAAGACACAATTACCTTGGGAGGCTGTGGCAGTTCAGTTGATTAGCACGGTGAATTAAAAGAATGAGTCACAAATGACATGTCCGGCGCTTCCGTACTAGTTCTTTGTATTCCCGGTGCGCCTCACCCCTGTTGTAAGAAGGTCAAAAATTAGAGAGAGAAACAGTTTTCAAGCGGCTAGCACTTAGGAGCAGAATTAACAATCACTCTGTATGTAATTGCCAGTTAATAGTAAATTGCCTTCTAGACTGTAAAATGCTATATAAACTGGTGGGCACCTAAAATTAAATTAATGAGATATTTGCCACATTTAAAAGTGAGTAGTGCAAATTAATAACTGAGTGCAGCGCTTGTTTTAATATTTGTCTACCAGTGTACCGTTGGCTTGTTTAATAATAATTAAAGTCGTCCCGGCATATCCTACCTGAGAAACTCACGATACAGGCAAACTGAGCAGCTTCACACTCATAATTTCACCAGTAGAAACACATCACATTGTTAAGAGTAATGAAAGGAATTATTTTTTAATTAGAATGTAAGCATTACGGTGTTATTTGATTAACACAGATTGGAATGTGTATGCTTCTGATTGAAATTATGTTATCACGAAAACTGCTTTTACAGACGTGTTTTCAAGGGTGAAGCGTTATGGCACCAATGTGTGCGTTACTGTTTTCTTAAAATGTCCATGTGGCAGAATGGTTTCCTGTTAGACCTCAGCACCGAGGCTGGCTGGTGACGGCGCAGCTTCAAGTGCAGCTTTCAGAGCAACAGTGACGCCCTGGGGGGAAGGGGAGGTTCCCTGCTGACCTCTCGTAACTGAAGGTTGGGCTGACCCACCCTCATTTTAGAGATTTCTTTTGCCCCATTAAAGAAATTATCACAAATTACTGGGAGTCAACGTGTCATCTGCGACAGACTGAAACCAGAGACCAAGCAAGACACTGGCAGTCGATAGTAAGTGCATCCAAGGTGGACACGGAGCGCTTGACCGCCCAGTACCTGGACCGGCCCCAGGTCTGCAATGCACCTACTAGATGGGAACATAAAAATGATTATTTTCTGCACACAGACGTGCGTTCAATTTCAGCCTTGTGAAATCATTACTCAACCAGTAATTGCTAACAGTTTGTGTTCTTTCTGATATAGTATTTATGTTTTCCTTTTTCTTTTTTTTTTAAAAAAGATTGTGCCTTAAAACTGGCAATATGCAAGGGGGTGATGGCTCCGTCCTCCCAGTACTGTCCTGGCACCCACAGGGTGACGGCATCCCACCCCGTCTTCCGATGGGTTTCCACCACTCAACCTGCCCTTTGCTCCCCCGTGAAAGCACGCATGTTTCTGGAGCATGTTCACGATCTCTTGTGTGCGTTCGGACGTGGTTCTGTCAACACTGCGGTCAACAGTGCCCTTTGCGACCCCAGCCAGCACCAGCGAGCTGTCTCCCAGGCCCGTGCTCCTCAAACAAATGACTTGTAGCCACAGAGCAAATGATTCTTAATTGCCGCTCACAAATCATACTATTTTCACTATGCTAAAATAAACGCGAGCACCTTCTTTAACTGTAACCCACC